TGTCAAGATTACACAATGCATTGTCTTGACTCGGGTCCCTTTAGTGGTGCTGATAATATCAAGTAATGAATGAAACCGCAGTCCACCTCGTATGAGAACACCATTTGGAAACCCAGGGCCATGTGAAATTAAATGGAAGAGTCAGCTTTAATCATATAATTATGAGAACATTCAACTGCCAGCCCTCTATCACCAGAAACTAAATACAGTGAATATATTTCATATGACATATACTGGTGACTACATGCCCAGCTGCGAGATTCAAGGCATGCTAGGAAATCTTATAAGGCCTATTCATTTAGTAATGGGATAAACGCAAATATTTCCTGAGTCCAGAAACGTACTTATATCGAAAAAGAATAATTTGATTAAATGCGATATAAAGCACATCTTTACTGAAACCATTACTTTTGATATAGAGCTGAGAAATGCTAAGCCTAGGTTATAATAAATGCCAGATCCGTCCAGTGTATAATGGCAAATTTTCTAATTCCATAAACAAATGTCTTCAATAAATAGTTATAAACAAAATAAATGGAAATTTTGTGATAATTTGCATACTAGAATCCCTCTTATTGTTATTCAGGCCTTGTTTCAATTCTCTTGGTCATGTCTATTTCTCCTTATTCCACGCTGTATCCTCTTCTCTTCACTTCGTTCCCCGCTCCTCCGCCCTCCAGGTTCTTATTTTTATGCATTCTTCCCTTTGCTTTAAATGATGCATCCAGTCAGTTCTGCTGTTGATTTCTGAAAAAGATTTTTTTACTGATCACTTTGTCACTTGTCTTACTTCAGAGTTCTTCCGGTTTTTTACTTCTTCCTTGTATATATTTTAGGTTCCCCGGGCCATTTTTTTGCTTCCGCCTCGGTCAGCATTAAACCCTACAGGTATTATAATGCTAGGATTGATTTGCCTTTTTCGACAATTCCTTCATTTCGACGACCTCCATTCGGGTTCGCTTTGCCTTATTCCTGACTATGCTTTACTCTTCACCAATTGATCTTCGCTCTCTACCTCAGTAGGTATTTATTATGTAGGTTATTACTCATGGTTTGCGTCAGCTTAATAATACCAATAATAATTTTTTATTAATTGCCTTCTGCTTGTTCTCATCATTTTTTCTTTCAAAAGCAGATACTTCGCCTGGTGGGCTTTAATCTACGAGTCTTGCGTACATTCTTAAGTGTCAATCAAGCTTCTCCACCAGATCTTGGAAACTTTGATACGATGGATTACCTCGGCTGGTCGCTTCATTCCCTACTGCTCCTTCGCCCTCCGGGTACTTATTTTTATGCATTCTTCCCTTTGCTTTATATGATGCATCCAGTCAGTTCTGCTGTTGATTTCT